ATATATATATATATATATATATATGGCAGAAGCCATCTTGGATTTTGCCATGGCAACCCAATATTCAAAAGGAACCTTTCTTACACCTAGTGGTAGATGAAGCCACACATCAAAATGGAAATTGGTACCTCACTTATACTGCCTGGCCAAAAAAAAAGTTGCCACCTGGATTGAACTAATCAAATGGGTACGAGCCTCCTTTTGGATAATTACTGCATCTTTCAGCAGGCAACAAGTTATTTAACCCCAAATGGGGCAATGAGTTGCTTCTCTTTTCTTAAACAACCATGTGGAAAGACACATCACGTGGTCGTGGAAAAGATGTCAGTCTGTTTGAGAAGGGTCAAATCATTGGCATCAAGCAGAGAAAACATCTAAGGAGATTGCAGAAACTACTAAAATTGAGTTAAGAACTGTCCAACACATTATTAAAAACTGGAAGGACAGTGGGGACCCATCATCTTAGAGGAAGAAATGTGGCCGGAAAAAAATCCTGAATGATCGTGATCAGCGATCACTTAAACGTTTGGTGAAATGAAATCAAAGAATAACAACAGCAGCACTCAGGGCTCTGTTTAATAGTGAAAGTAAAAGCATTTCCACACGCACAATGTGAAAGAACTCAAGGACTTTATAACTGAACAGCTGTGTAGCCTTAAGAAAACCACTTATCAGTGAGGCTAACTGGAAAAAAGGCTTCAATTTGCTAGGGAACATAAAGATTGGACTCTGGAGCAATGGAAGAAGGTCATGTGGTCTGATGAGTCCAGATTTACCTGTTCCAGAGTGATGGGTGCATCAGGATAAGAAGAGAGGCAGGTGAAGTGATGCACCCATCATGCCTAGTGTCTAGTCATCAACGCAAGATCTTGGTGAAAAATTAATGCAACACTGGATGGAAATAGATCTTGTGACATTGAAGAAGCTTATTGAAACAATGACACAGAGAATGCTGCTGTGATCAAAGCTAAAGGCAGTCCAACAAAATATTAGTGTGTGACCTTCTTTAGGTGGCAACTTTTGATTTTTGGCCAGGCAGTGTATTTTTAAGTTATCCAGCTCACAAGACACAGATGGACAGCTGGATGGACAGCTGCACGGACAATTGGATGGACAGTTGGATGGACAGCTGGATGGACTGCTGCATGGACAATTGGATGGACAGTTGGATGGAGAGCTGGATGGACAGCTGGATGGACAGCTGGATGGACGCTTAACAGCTTGTTTGAGTTTTTAATTTAAACTCAGTGCCTTTTTCAGTGTCCTGAAGTTAGAACACAAGAGATTTTCTGAGGTATTTATGGTGACTTTCAGGATCTGATCTGGGTCATTAGACTCTGGTGCTTCAGCTTCATCGAGCCACAGAGAGGCGGCGTTGTGTCTCTCAGATCAATAAGGCCCATTTACAGGCACAAGTCTGTAAACACTGTCAGCTGGGAGCTGTTTTCTGATGAGTAGGTGTCAGTCAGCTAAACTTCATTTTAAGATCATTAATTATTTGCTTGAATGAGTCAACAGTTGTTGCTTTGATGAGTTAAACAATTTATCAGGCTCCAGATTCTGTGGAGAAAAAAAAACATTAACAGAGAAGTCTAAAATTACTTAATTAAAGTCTTTAAAGTCAATTGTCAAATATTACTGAAGATGAGCAGTGAGTCACAAGTGTGAAAAAGCCAGGCAATAAAACCTTGCATTAGTTTTAGCAATCCAAATGTTGAGCTATTTAAATTTGGAAACAGTCAAATAATGTATAAGCTGAATATATGATTCTTCATAGTAAACATAAAAAAAATTAAGTTTTAAGTAACTGTGTTATAACATGTGTTTGGATTAATGCCTCATGTGCTACATGTTAATTTGTGTTGATAAAAACAGAGAAAGCAGCAAACCAGCCCTCTGTTTAACATTAATCTCTATAAACCACCGCTGATGATATAATGAAAGATTCTCTTTAATATAATAGTCAGACAGGGTTGGAAGTTCAACTTGTAGTTTATCTGTTCAAAGGTGAGATGATTTTCGAAGGACTTGCTCCTTTTCACAGTTGCTAAGGAACTGGTCCACCCCTCTCCCCTGCAATCCCAACAGGCCATGGAGACGTGACAACAAAAGATGGCAACCTTTGCAGATGAAGATACAAAGGCCAGCTGCTCCACTGGGGTTTCACATAAATTGTCACTCCCTTGTTTCTAACAAGAGTC